TTTTTTTGTTTCACAAAATTGGCAGTGGTATCAAATAATAGAAGAGCGGCTGGCCGAACCGTTGAAAATGCTGTGCTATCATGAGAGAGGCACGGGTTCGAACCATCTGCAGGGTTTTGGATCTTTTGTTTTTTCAATTAAGGGCAAAAAAGGAAATTCTGATCTGCATAGTCCGTGGCGACAGCACTAGCCCTTCAGCTCTGTATCCTCAGGTTTCTCCTCCCCTCCAACTTTTCTACTGTCACTCTGTTCTCCAGTTTTCTTTTTCTCGTCACATGACCAAAAAATGTAGATGTCTTTTTCTGATGTGGGTAATCAGTTCTCTTCGTGAGTCAGTTTCTTTCGAGACATCCTTATTACTCTTTTCCATCTTTCAGGATATTTTCATCATTCATCTACAAAAACACATCCTTGCAGATTTCAAATAATTCACTAATCTACCATTATTCGCTTCCATGTTTCAAGATAGGATTTATATAGCTTTTAAGAAATGAAATGTTAATTCTACATAATGCAAATCTGCTGGAGGGGGAGGGGATAAATTGTATAGTATTCAGATACAATATAGAAATACACAATGTTATCTTGTTCAGATCTTGGAATGTGAGCAAATAAATTAAGAGGAGTTCTGAGGCAGCTGAGATGTGGTTCGTGGGAAGAATGTTGTGTTTGACTGCCAGAATAACTGACAATGAATGCCTTGAGATGGCTAATGAAGGTAAAATATTACATACAACAATCAGAAGGAGACAAACAAGGTTCTTGGGTCATATTTTATGCAAAGGAGCACTGGAAAATATTGTAACGACTGTGAAGATCAATGATAGAAAAGGCAGAGGTAGACCAAGAGAAAAATGGTGGATGGCTTCAAACAGTGGCATGGAGAAATATTATCAGTGGAAGTGATCCAGAACACCAAAGACCGAGATATGTATCGATTCTTGAACGCCTACGACAGCTGGCAAGACACTTGATGATGATGATCATATTCAGTCCATACCATATATGGCTGCCATTCTTTGCCTTGTCCAGACGTTAGGGTATTGCGTAGTCAGCGGGGCCAAATTATATATAACCTTAGAATTGAACAGGGCTTGCCTGGATTTCTACATGTAGGATTCTCATTTTTGGGGTGTGAATCCTGAGGACGGTCGTCCTGGAGGGTACCCCATACACTCTCACGCTCCTGTCTGGTGCAGCCAATCGTCAGTTAGATGCCGTCTATACAGTCAACGTTGGCTGCAGTAGATCCCCAACACGCTCTGTCTCTTGTCTGTGTGTATACTTCCTCAAGCTGCTGTTCGTCCATCTTATCATGTTGTCCTCCCACTTGTAACGATGTCTACCTCTTGCTCTCGACTTTTCCTTCCAGTGTGATTTTGAAAAGCGTTTTACGTCTTTTAATGTGGCCAAAGTTTAGCAAATCTCTCTCTCTCTCTCTCTCTCTCTCTCTCTCTCTCTCTCTCTCTCTCTCTCTCTCTCTCTCTCGTACCCCACTATGACATCACACAAGCGATAAACACCCGGTGACACAAAGTGCCACCATGGGGATGAGGATCACCCGTGGAGAGGTCCCGGAAACTCCTTTCAGCAGTAAAGCCATATATTTATGGCCCGGTTATATTTATGGCCCCCGGCTGAAGCCAGGGTGGGGCTTTAAAAAAAAAAAAAAAATTGCATCCCACATGGGGACGACGATCTAATCTTGTTCATTGTCCAAGTTTCTGCACCACACAGTAGGACTAGGTATAAACAACATTTGACAATACAAGTTTTTAATATGTTGTTTATCTCTTCGGCTGTCAATATTTTGCGCATCTTATTGAAGACAGTGCTAGCTATTCGTGATCTCTTCTTGAGTTGAGTTGGGTTGAGTTGAGTCAAGAATTTACATCACAGCACTCGGTGCATTCCCATGCGTACTCCGTCCTCACCTTCAACAGCCAGTGCAGAGTTCTAATACTGATGGCACCGGTCACAATCTGGTTAAATGTCCGTCTTGCCTTTCCTCTGAGTGTAGTGAGCCTGCCAGACCCTCTGGTTACACCCAGGTGCCGCATTCTCTGCAGGCCATTATAATCTTCTCTACTAATTCTGTTGCTTGTTCCCAAAAGGCCTTGACCACATCTGCCTTGTCATGTATCAGCTCACCACCCAATGGTGCAGATCCAGCCAATCTGTCTGTCTGTTCATTACCCACTACACCTGCATGGTCTGGAAAAAAGATTCAAAGTATGCTCACTACCAGTGACCTTCCAAGTGAAGCTTGCCACTCTGCTCGAAACAACCCTGTCTTCACCTTTCTCAGCATGCTTTCAGAGTCTACTAAAATTACGAAATGTGTATGCATTGTTCTCTTTTTGATTTCTAGGTAACCGTTACTGGTGCCATAATTATAACGTATTTTGGAGGTTGAATGGAGTATCTGGAATCTGCCTTGTTGTTCTGCCATTCAGATCAAGATTTTTAAATCTCAGATTGGTTTAGTAAACATGTATGTGGCCAGCAACTCGAAGGTGACAACCCGATCGATAGATCGAACTGTATCTTGTCTGTGGCCTTAATATATATTCCAGTTTTAGTGCAAATTGATCGTGTGTGTTTTATTTAAAATGAATTACGATACTGGTAATCGATTGCAATTGATTGTATTAATCCCTAGGCCGCTGTAGCCATTTACAAGTGTGCCTTGTGTGGCTGTGTGTTTGTGTGTGCCTTGTGTGGCTGTGTGTGTTTGTGCCTTGTGTGCCTTCTGTGGCTGTGTATGTGTGTGTGTGTGTGTGTGTGTGTTTGTGTTGTGTTTTAAAGGGTTTGCATATTGGTTGATCGACAAATTTGTTCCATCCGAGATGCAACCTTGAGTTTACCATCCTGTTAATTAGTTGCGTATCATTTACAGGACTTTGTAGAACCAACCCAGCATTTTTTGGCTGTTGGGGTTTCTCTAAGTAAATTTTACGTTCAGTAGTTTGCCATAGCTTTCTGCACGGTCAGCTTTCGGTACCAATGTCGAAACCAGGGAAAGACAAATTGTCTGCAGCAGGGATCGAACCCGGCACTCCAGCATTACGAAGCGCGTTCGCAACGCCTAAGTCACAGACGCTGTTACAATCCTGAGATTTTTAAAAATATCAACATTTATGGTAGACCAACGGTGCATCGTCTTGATACCTTGTTCAACTTCTTTTTCTTCTTAGAGACCATGCCGTAAACCGTTGGTAATCATGTCAATCCACAACCTTTTTTTCTCATGTACTTTTTATCAACTTTGACACGGATTATTTCACCAGGTCACGCTGGTGTGTTGGGAAATGAACAGGCGGACAAACTGGCTGGCTCTGCACAACTTGGTGGAATACTGATACATGATAAGGGAGACGTGGTTAGTGCTTTGTGGGAGGGCGTGCACTGTTCGTAGGAGCAGATGGATCACCACAGTCTGGTGAGATTGATGCAGGAAAGGTGGGGGGGGGGGGGGGGGGAGGGGGAGGGTGACGAGAGGTTCTGGCAGATGCTCGAGGCTCAGGGGAAAGGCAAGACTGTCGTTTAATCAGAATGCTCCTGGAAATCTTCGCTGGCTGCTGAAGATGGGGACGTAGTGCTTATGGGAATGCCCCAAGTGCTGTGATGTCGGTTCTTAAATCAAATCAAACCAATGACACGGATAAGGTGAAAAACGCCGCCCGGGCAGTGCAGTTAGGCTACTTTTTTACGATTTCCAACTGCCAAAGGATTTGTTACGTGCGCAACAATACACACGGGAGTCCGATCTCACTACCCAGAGACCGGGGGAGAATTACTGGAAGTCCAAGCCCACGGGGGAAAAAATCCCAGCACTTACCTCGGGTTGAACCCGGAACCTCCAGCAAATATGTTTGGTTGAAGCAACATTCCATGGCTTATGATTAATTGTATAAGCTTGTAGGAGTATAGAGTACCAGGTTCAATGTATTTTAATTGTACTTTCAAACAATTGTAATAATTATATTCTGTAATCTATCTTTGCGGATATTTAAAGTGATCTGGGATACTATTATTCTGTCTAAAAATATATTATCATTCTTGCTCTTGTGGTGTACTGTTTAATCCTTCCCTGTAGTTCACTAGAGCACTTAACTCTAGGTATGTTTTCTATTGTCATAGACTTATTGCAGAAGATCATCCATTCAATGTGGGGAATCCTTGGGAGTTCACACTTCTTGAGGCATGATAAATAATTTTCAGTATTATTACTTATCTGACATACAGAGCATACATTTTCTGCTACAGTGAGATGCGCTACTTTAAGTTGCAGTCTTTGTAATTTTTTATTGCAAGGAATTGTTTAGTTAAAAAGAATAATAATAATAATAATATGCTTGAACTAATAGCCTCTCTTCTTCTTCTTTTTTTTCTTCTTCTTCTTCTTCTTCTTCTTCTTCTTCTTCTTCTTCTTCTTCTTCTTCTTCTTCTTCTTCTTCTTCTTCTTTGCCGGCTGTAAACTAAAAAGATATGGTTGTTTGTCCACTTCTAGACTTTAGTCATGTCCCAAAACACGTTTTGTGTACACATTAGTTTATAAATCTAGCTTATTTGCATTCGGACTGTTTATTCCTTGCTTTGCAGACAGATGCACTCCGACTTCGTAGTAAACCCATAATTAGTCGACTCTTGTGACATCTTGGTTAGTGAGTAAGTTGATCTACACCCCCCCCCCCCCCCTCAAGGGACCCACGACTCCTTTTTTTTAGGTGGCGACTGCTACAACTACTACATACAATAACAATTGACAAGTATACAAGTAACAACCACCCCACCTCACAGCGCGACATTCGTGGCTAACAACTGTGTGAGGGAGATTTTCATATATCATTTATCGACATATTCAGTATCTATTGACCGTAAGAAGGCACGTCGCAGAGAAAGTTTAGCTAAAGGATTAGATCTGAACACACTAGTCCAGGCTGCGGGGGTTCGGACACTTTCACCCCGAGCCCGCGATTGCAGGGATTGTTTTCAAGATGGCGGCTGTTTGGGTTCTGCTTGCGTTGACGGCTTTAGTTGCAGATTATTGTTTGGTTTCTGCTACATCTTACAAAGAAGGAGACAAGGTTTGGAACAGTTTTGATAAATAAATGAATGTTTACACTTTGTATTAAATATGTTGTGTGTGACGGGTATTTGAGCTACACTGTTTGTGTTTCGGCGATCGACTGTCACAGTCGTGATGATGAATTGAATGATGTGGATGGAGATTCGTAGGTTTCACTAATATATTAGTTTATTACTAATAATTATTAGGCTCTTGCTTGTTGTTCGGTTCAAGTACGATGTGGGTATGCAGACAAAAAAAATGTCGTATTTTATGTAATATAAATATATATAAACAACAGCAGTCAGTTACAGAGGTTGTGGAGAAATTGTGGCTCTACTGTCAAATTTGGCCGGTAAGCTGGACTGCTTCGGCCGGCTTAGCGGGGCTTAGTGGGAGTTATGTCTCTTCGCGTCCCTTCGCCAAACTCAAAACAAGTCGAGGAAAAAGTCACGAATCAAATGACATACTTACCTATCATCATCCGGGTGCGTGAAGGGCTCCGTAGGGTTGCATCTAGGGTTACCTATCATCATATGGTTGCGCGTAGGGCTGCGTATGGTGTCTATCATCATCATACGGTTGCGTGTAGGGCTGCGTAGGGTGTCTATCATCATCATCATACGGTTGCGTTGGGTTTGGGTTAGTGGTAGGGTTAGGGGTGTGGGTTAGGGTTAGATGTGAAAATTTTCACGTAGGAGGTCGAAATACTGGCCGACAATCTGATGCTTGTGGGAGTGGCGCCACTGGAAGTGTGCCAAATATGACGGCAATAGCGCGCGGCTGGTGCCCAATCGGTGGCGAATTGTCCGTGTCAGTAGCATCCACCGTCCGTCGACTGTTTGCGCGTGCATACGACTGTGCGCGATTGTAGGGAACTACGGCGTCACAATTGTCACATCTAACGCTACACCTAACCCTAAACCCTAACACCTAACCCTAAACCCTACACCCTAAACCCTGACCCTAACCCCTAACCCTACCCCTCATCTTACGCAAACAACCAACCTACACGCAATAAGCAGCCCTACACGCAACCGTAGGACGATGATAGACACCCTACATGCACCCGGATGATGATAGGTAAGTATGCCATTTGATTCGTGACTTTTTCCGCGACTTGTTTTGAGTTGTTTTGAGTTTGGCCAAGGGACATAACTCCCACTAAGCCTCGCTAAGCCGGCCGAAGCAGTCCAGCTTACCGGCCAAATTTGACAGTAGAGCCAAAATTGTGTATACAGTAAGTATACATCACACAAAAGAAGCGAAGCTGTATTAACTAGTAGTTAGTAATATTTCAAAAATATCCTGTTCTGCAACCCTCAGGGTTACAAATCTGGGCTCTCCTCCGAACTTCGACCCGATATTATGGCGGCCATAAAATATCCTTACGGGGCTCAGGCATATGTAAAATGCGGACTTTCTGCCAAGGAACAAATTGCGGCAAAACTAGGATTACTTGACAATTTCAAGAGACACAACATTGCAGACGATAATAGCGACCGCTGACAATTTCGAGCGTTTCTGCAGACGATAATAGCATGCGCAAAATGCGATTAAACTTACGTCGAGTGTATTCCCCGCACCGCTACGCGCGGCGCGGATGGGGGGCTAAACTAGATGCCTGGGACACACGAGCAGATTAATTGGAGGAAGTTGCAGGAGATACTGTAGCTGCTGCTTGTGAGTCCCAGCCATCTAGTTTAGCCCCCATCCGCTACGCGCGTAGCGGCGCGGGGGATACGGTCGGCGGTGAGGCACAGTCACAGAAACAGGTCCGCAAGTAACATACCGCTTAGACCCTGTTAGAGCATTTGTTTTGTTATACGGAGCCAGCATATTTTTCATAGAACTGAGCCCCGTAAGGATATTTTATGGCGGCCATAATATTGGGTCGAAGTTCGGAGGAGAGCCCAATTCTGATATATAGTGTTAATTTAGTTATCAGAGTATATGTGTGTTAGTTTATATTATATATCATATAATTATTTTTATGATTAATATGTAATTTGAGCTCTCCTCCGAACTTCATCCCCGTATTATGGCAGCCAAATAAATACCCTAGCAGGGCCTCAGTCGTGTGTAAAATACGGACTTCCTCCGACGAACACTTCGAGGCAAAACTAGGAATACTGTCCATTGACACTTTTGTGAAACACAACAATATACACAATAATAGCGAAATGACTGGGAGACCACGTGCTCTGACGCAGGTTAGCGATAGTGTTCTTCTGATTAAACTTACCGCTGAGCATATCCCCCGTGCCGCACGTAGCGGCGCAGATGGGGGGCTAAACTAGATGGCTAGGACTTAACGAGCAGCAGCTACCGCATCTCCTGCAACTTTCTCCAATTTTTGCTTGTGAGTGTCAGCCAACTAGTTTAGCCAGCTATCTGCGCCGCGCGTAGCGGCGCGTAGGATACTGTCGGTGGTGAGGCATAGTTGCAGAAACAGGTCCGCAATTTACATATCGCTGAGACCCTGTTTAGAGTATTTGTTTGCCCTTGATAATATTGGCCCGTTATTCAGAGGCAATCCTAGTTTTGCCGCAATTTGTTCCTCGGCAGGAACTCCGCATTTTACACACGACTGAGGCCTTGTTAGGGTATTTGTTTGGCCGCCATAATATTGGGGACGAAGTTCAGAGGAGAGCCTACCGTAAACTGTAATGTTCTGCATATTGCTTTGATTTGGCTTGTGATTATGAAAGAAATGTGTATTATGAATAATTAGACAATCTTACTAACATGGTGGATATATTGTTTCTTGAGTGTGCAGTCATTGATTCTTCTGCACGATTTTATCTTTAGGGAAAAACATCTTCAAAGATACGATAGGCATTCTTTACAAAAGAACATGTCATGTTTCATATTGTAGTCGAAATTTGCAAAAACTAAAATTCCTGTTCAACCTGGGAGGAACAAAATATTGAAAACAGATGTTCGGAAGAGATTAGGAGTGAAAAGAGAGTTGCTAAAGGAAATTAAAAAGAGACGTGAAATATTTCAGCCATATTAATTGTTGTTAAACCACTCCCATAATAAAACTGTACTGGAGGGAAAAGTTGAAATGACAAGGCAACAAGTGGTACAAATGGCAAGATAACATCAATACATTGACTAACAGCAGTCTGGAAGAGTGTTTATTTAGGGCGGAAAACAGAGTATGTGATCCATTGCAGCCATACCTTCATTGTGGAGCTGGCATCTGAAAAAAATGTGTATGTAGATAAATTAAATTTTTAACGAATTTATTAGTGACCTGTGTAATTTTTTTCTTGATTCTAACGGGGTCTATTTTTCTCTAACTGTTCTCAGGGTGAGAGAGGGTTATTTGCTATCTTTTTATATAGTTTAGAATTAGGATTGTAGTTACTGTTCTCTTTATTGTTAAACTCTTAAACAAATTCACGTTTCCTTGTTTGACTTCTCCGCCAGGTTCTGGTCTACGTCAACAAAGTGGGCCCCTACTTCAACCCACACGAAACTTACCACTACTATCAGCTGCCAGTGTGCCGACCAAACAAGGTAACTGAAATCATCCAGGGTAGACATCAAAAGCTGAGGGTCCCCGCCTGGGTTCTAAGGCCCCATTCTGGAGCAAAAAAAAAGAGTAGACCCACTACCCCTCTAACAAGCTTGTCATACAAGACGACTTATTAGGAGTGTTTCCTTCGAAGTCAGTGTGCATCTGCCTGAGGGGAAAAGAACTAACAGTCTGCCTGCAAATAAGCCAGATCTGTAGAATGGATGTATACGTAGAACCCAGGTTCTGGAAGGAGACTAATGTCTAGTAATAGACAAACAACCAGAGCTTTCCACTGAAGTTTACAGCTAGTCATCGCTCAGAAAAAGAAGAAGAAAACAAGCTGGGGGCAGGGAACATAAATAATTAGCACTACACTAAAGTCTCCTAAGGGGAATTTTTTGACAATTTTCGCCCAGTTGCATTGTCAGGGCTGTTATTTGCTACTTTACAATATGCTAAAAGCACACATATGAATTCTTACTTCAGATTGGTCAGACTGAAGTATTACATTTCAGGCAAACTACACTTTTCATTTGGTGTAGAGCCAGCTATTTGTGCATGTGCTGTATGTGAAAGAGAGAGTGTGGGAGGAGAGAGGGAGAAGTTGTGTGGGCAGAAGAGAAGATAGGAGAAACAAGAGAGTGGGATGAGAGAGTTTGCATGAGCAGAAGAGAGGTTAGAAGGAATGAGAGAGTGAGAAGAGAGTTTGTGTAGGCAGAAGAGAGGATAGGAGAAATGAGAGTGGGAGAAGAAAGAAAGTTTGTATGGGCAGAAGAGAGAGTGGGAGGAGAGTGTTTGTGGGCAGAAAAGATGAGAGAGGGAAGGAGAAAGAGAGTTTGTGTGAGCAGAAGAGAGAACAGGAGGAGGGAGTTTGTGCGGGTTGAAGAAAGAGTGGAGTGTCAAGAGTTTTTATGAGCAGAAGAGAGAGTGAGTGGAGGGAGAGAAAAGGAGATCTTAAGCGTAGTGCTCAACTTAACTATATTATCCTCAGACCTCTACCCTCCCTCCACCTATCAGCCTTTGAGACATAACATTTTTTTTGTCCTGATCAATAATGAAGCAGATAGTCTGACTGTACGTTGTTTTATTGTCGCTATTGATTTGATATCTCATACAGCCGCAGCTGTGAGTCCATGAACTTTGCCCTTCACACTGTTACCCCATCAGACAGGTCTTTTGAGTTGAGTTCAGTTGAGAACTGGCATCACAGCTTTCGAGACATTTTCCTCCTCCTTCATCTTCCTCATGTTCTTATTTTGTTCTTTTTTTTTTCTTCCTCCTCCTTTTGTCTTCTTTCTCTTCTTCCTGCTCTTTCATCCTCTTCCTCCTCCACCTTCTGTTTGTTTTCTTCCTTCTCTTTCATCTTCCTCTTCTTCCTCCTCTTTCATCTTCCTCCTGTTTCATCTTCCTCCTCCTCTGCTTATCCCTCCCCATCCTCTTCCTTTCTCCTTTTCCTTGTCTTTTTCATCTTCTTCCTCATCTTTCAATCCTTCCTTGTCATCCTCGTCATCATTCTTATCTCCTCCTCTTCCTGTGAGCAAAGTAGTTTCTGATAGCAGCCTAGTACTTTTACTTTCTTAGCGTACATCTTACGTTGCTACGTATACGCACATCTGTTTCTCCCTGACTCGGAGACCCAACACTTACAATATTTATCCAAGTGGTGACTCGTGTTGAGATATTGATTTTCTTTACTTACATACTTTTTTTTTGCCATTATATGTGTGTGGATATGGATTATATCCATTTTCATTAGTTGTTTTACTAGCTTTTCTTGACTGCACAAGCCATGTTAGCTGATACTTATTTGTTCTTGTATTAACCTAACTTGTGTGTGTGTGTGTGTGTGTGTGTGTGTGTGTGTGTGTGTGTGTGTGTGTGTGTGTGTGTGTGTGTGTGTGTGTGTGTGTGTGTGTGTGTGTGTGTGTGTGTGTGTGTGTGTGTGTGTGTGTGTGTGTGTGTGTGTGTGTGTGTGTGTGTGTGTGTGTGTGTGTGTGTGTGTGTGTGTGTGTGTGTGTGTGTGTGTGTGTGTGTGTGTGTGTGTGTGTGTGTGTGTGTGTGTGTGTGTGTGTGTGTGTGTGTGTGTGTGTGTGTGTGTGTGTGTGTGTGTGTGTGTGTGTGTGTGTGTGTGTGTGTGTGTGTGTGTGTGTGTGTGTGTGTGTGTGTGTGTGTGTGTGTGTGTGTGTGTGTGTGTGTGTGTGTGTGTGTGGGTGGGTGGGTGGGTGGGTGGGTGGGTGGGTGGGTGGGTGGGTGGGTGGGTGGGTGGGTGGGTGGGGGGGGGGTTTAAGGCTGGTATGTTAACTGTATGACGATCTGGAGAGCTCACCTTCCAATTCAGTGATTCTTAAGCTGTTCCTTCTCGGCCACAGTGTTTGAATGTAACTTTCCATATAATAAACAGACATATGTTGATCGGGCAGTCTTATAAAGAAGTAGAAAGATCAAAATCCCAGTGTGCATTCTGGGGCCCTATTGAAGGGAAGACAAAAATAGATCCACTGCCTACTCGACAAGCGTGTCGTAGGAGTCGGCTAATTGGGAGCTTCCTTTGAAGTCGGAGTGGATCTGCCCGAGAGGCAAGGAACAAACGGCTGCACACAAATAAGCCATTAAAACAGATATTCACGCAAAACTCAGGCGTGACACAAAGCCAGAGTTCAAATGGACTAACAACCAGGACTGTCCGGCAAAGCTTACAGCCGGTGAACTAAGAAAAAAGACTGAAAGATATAATTTATGTACAGAAACCATTGTTTTATCAAAACAAGTGGTGAAGTTGGCCAAGTTAAATTCTGTGGTTTGAGATGAATTTCATCTGTATTCCATAGTTGCAGATTCAGACAGTACGATAGACATGGCTGGTGAAGACACCTTTTTTTAACGGTGCCAAGATAGCGACTGGACACTAGACAACATAAAAATTGAAAGCTATAGTTACTTTGTCTAGACTGGAACCTTTTATCTCCAGATGATGGTTCTGCCTTGCTGCAGAAACAAGTATATTAAGATGCATAACTAACTAGTTTATTTCTGTAATACTTTCTCGCTTGTGTTAATTTTGTTACTGGGTTTTCATTCATACTTTATTTCTGTAATACTTTCTCATTTATGTTAACTTTATTAGTGTGTTTCTTTTTATTCATAGCTCTGTTACTGTGATCTTATTCATTGTTTGTTGCTGTGATACCGTCTCATCCACTATTATAGTTTTACATATAGGCTCAGTTTCTGTTGTGTTCTCTTCACTAGTTCATAACATACAAATATTGATTTATCTTGTCTGTCACCAGTTGAGTCTTTATGTCCCAAACAAAGCACTCTGCATGACTGGGTGTTATTCTCCGTACCAATAATCATGTATGTTGTTACATCTTATGTTTAGTGAACTCTAAAGAACTCTCTTTTTAAATTTAATATCATGAATGGGTCAAGTAGAAAGCAATTGATGGCACAAGATTTAAAGAAAAAGTGAAATATCATAGTATGTTTACATAGCTTATTTTATTTAATACATGCAAGCAAACGTTTCCGCCAGGCTGTTTTATTTCTATTTTTCTTCTTTTGAATTCAACTGCCAACTATCCTTAACAAAAATGTTAACCAATAAAGAGCATACATTGACAGAAAAAAAAAGACTCTGAAGAACTATGAAAACGTGTTTGTTTCCAGCTAGAGTTGTATATCTGCTGGCCTCACTGGAACTAGTATACCCATGAGTTTAATTTGCCATCCTCAGCTCCCTCTGACATTGGCCAGGACCTTGTGGGTCTGAAAAAGTTAAGCCAAAACCTTGTGGGTCTGAAAAAGTTAAGCCAAAACCTTGTGGGTCTGAAAAAGTTAGGCCAAAACCTTGTGGGTCTGAAAAAGTTAAGCCAAAACCTTGTGGGTCTGAAAAAGTTAAGCGAAAACCTTGTGGGTCTGAAAAAGTTAAGCCAAACAGCCAAATTTGTATGGCTAGTTTTGTCTCCAGCAAAACAAAGAAACAAAATATTCAACACATTAGAAAGATAACACTTAGGACATTACAATCATTAGCTTTTCCTTTTACTGCATATATTTTTTTTAGATATTGATTCAAATATTGATGAGCGCAGGTGGTGTCTGAAACTATAGACTCTCTGGCGTGAAAAGTTCACTTTTGTCTGCCTGTGATATTTTAAGTGAAGGAGATAATAGTTATTTGTTGTAGAGTGTGCAAGGGCTGATTTTTGTAAAGGTGGTGGTTCGTGCGTGTGTGAAGTGAGGTGTGTCTGTGAAGTTCTCTTGAGAGAGTAATTGACCTGGGGTATAATCATTGGGGTGGATGGTGGGAGAAGGTTTAATTGTACAGTTTGTGTAACATTGTAGTCTGCAGCTTTTAACTTCTGCCTTTTTTTTTTTAAAGATAAACTTCATTTTAGAAATCTGTATTCTGTCCTAATTCTGTTTTTTTATTATGTTCCCTTCCTTGTTTTTTTTTTGTTTTTTTATTTCTGTTTCTTGCTCCTTAGAAGGGCTTGATATGAGTTGGTACCTTTAACATACAGTAAGGGCATTTGGTCCAGTATGGTGCATAGACCCCGCAGTCTGTAAAACCTTGGGGTGTTTTCTGCCTCTGGCCACAACTTGTTAACAGTTTCCACATGTGAGAACATGTGCTCTGGTACTATCCACCACAGCGAGCCACACTAAAACGTTACAACGTTAGAGCGAGTGGAAGACCTCGGAAAATATGGAATGATGGCATTAAAAACAGCCTTACAGAAATGAACATCAGTCTTAATAGTATTCTTGACAGAGCTCATCAACGAACATTACATCTCCCCCCGACACTTCGATGAGGTACAAGGTGGAAGAGAAGAAGAAGAAGAGAACAAGAAAGAAATATGGTGGCTGGTCTGTTCTGAATATTATTGTTTATCGCTTGTTGACTTATCTGTTGCTTGCATGTCTTTCCTTCAACAGATTGAACACAAACGTTTAAGTCTTGGAGAGGTGCTAGATGGGGATCGCATGGCTGAGTCCTTGTATGACATTACGTTTAGAAGTAAGTGAAGGGACCTCGTTTTGTGTGATCACTTGTGTATTTGTCAGTAGGTAAAGGACCCTTTCGATGCCAATGGGGCATAGACAGTCCGACAAACACCAAGACTGTGTTTGATTTGGATTCCTGACTCTATTTTAGAAGAAGAAAAAAAAAAAGAATAGAGGCCCTGAAAATAGGGTTCGTCATGGGCGAAAGGCTAAAGCCCGAACATAGAAAGATCATTAATACAATACTCCCTGTGTGGGTTCTGGGGATACTATTATAGGGAAAACAAGAATAGACCCACTGCCTGCCCAAAAGCATGTGGTAAGAGTCATCTAATTGGGCGCTTCCTTCAAAGTGGGATTGCATCTGCCTAAGAGGCAAGGAACCAACAGTCTGCACACAAATGAGATCTGTCAAACGGATGCACACGCAACACTTGGGTTCTGAAACAGGACTGCAGTCCAGAGGTGGACAAACAACCAGAACTTTCCGCTGGAGTTTACAGCCGGTGAACGTGAAGAAGAAGAAGACAATGACAATACAACTGGCATTGACCTGCGGGCCACTTGCTAGGCCTCCTCGGGCCGCCAGTTCAATAGCCCTGATCTAGCTGCTACATCACAGCGGCTCCCAGGAGCTGTGTAAGGTCAACCTTAGTGAGAGTGATGTCGAGCTCCTGCGCAGCGCTATTGAAGACCTGTACTACTTTGAGTTTGTCTTAGGTTTGTTGTATATGTTATCATTGTGTGTTGTTACAGAACATGTTTGCTATAGGTTTGTTGTATATGTTATCATTGTGTGTTGTTACAGAACATGTTTGCTATAGGTTTGTTGTATATGTTATCATTGTGTGTTGTTACAGAACATGTTTGCTATAGGTTTGTTGTATATGTTATCATTGTGTGTTGTTACAGAACATGTTTGCTATAGGTTTGTTGTATATGTTATCATTGTGTGTTGTTACAGAACACATGTGGCATGATTTTGTTGTATAAGTTCTATTATTGTGTGTTGTTACAGAGCCATGTGGCATTTGCATAGGTTTGTTGTGTAAGTTCTATTATTGTGTTTTGTTACAGAGCCATGTGGCATTTGCATAGGTTTGTTGTGTAAGTTCTATTATTGTGTGGTTTTACAGAACATGTTTGCTATAGGTTTGTTGTGTAAGTTCTATTATCGTGTGTTGTTACAGATCATGTTTGCTATAGGTTTGTTGTGTAAGTTCTATTATTGTGTGTTGTAACAGATCATGTTTGCTATAGGTTTGTTGTGTAAGTTCTATTATCGTGTGTTGTTACAGAACATGTTTGCTATAGGTTTGTTGTGTAAGTTCTATTATCGTGTGTTGTTACAGAACATGTTTGCTATAGGTTTGTTGTGTAAGTTCTATTATCGTGTGTTGTTACAGAACATGTTTGCTATAGGTTTGTTGTGTAAGTTCTATTATCGTGTGTTGTTACAGAACATGTTTGCTATAGGTTTGTTGTGTAAGTTCTATTATTGTGTGTTGTTACAGCTGGTATAGGAGGGAAGCTCCGACAGGTGGACAAACAGAGCACTGCTGTTCTGACCCAGTAGCTTCTGCAACATGAGAACATTGTTGGGTTCTTTGTTAATATCCTACCCCAGATGACGTCACAGGACAGTCCAACACTTTAAAGGGTGGTGAGACTGGGTTTCCCGGCTATTTCCCACCTACGTCCCACGAGAGAATGCACCTTAGGTCCCACGACTGCATGCACCTTAGGTCCCACGACTGCATGCAGCCTAGGTCCCACGACTGCATGCATCCTATCTACCACTACCTGAAATATTAGACTGTCCCGTGACCTGTAGATTTCCCCTGTTTAGGGTAGGATATTAATAAAGCACTTATTGTTGTTTCAAAGAGTGCTGCTACCTTTACTTTAGATTTTAAAAAAAAAATAAAGAACGTGGGAGGGATCATGCTGCGTGGGCAACACATGGTCTCTACAATCCTGCCCAGGCTTTGCGCTGTAGAGAGGAGGAACTTCATTGGCCTCAGTTGCCCATCGCCGTGGGCTGTGATTTGAATGCCTCCCAGTAGCACAGTATCTTACAATCATCTGGAAAGACGGAATGGTGCCAATGTATACTTCATAGTTAGACAAGAAATGATTCTGTCTTCATCTTGTGTCAGATTTTAACTCCTTTAGTACAAGAAGAAAATTTCATAGGTGGTTAAAAAAAAAGTAAACATCCCTTCTCCACACCTTTAGGTGTATAGCGTATATACGGCTAGACTTATATATTTTATAGACCAATCGGCACAAGTTGGGTGATGTGATCAGCATCACGCCGGCCACCTTTACTTCCCAGTACTGCACCCGGTACTCACTCCAGACTGGGTCGACCTGGAAGTCTAGGTCATTTTTGAAAAAAGTCCAGCTCCACCAGGGAGCGAATTCATAGGGGGTACCACTGATTAAATATCCATAAATAACTTTCATCAGTGCATTGCTTTCAAAACGGTAATGTAACAGTAGTAGTGACTTTCAGACATGCCAGATTTCTTGGGTGTGTACTGACCTAATACAAAGAGTAAAAGAGCATATTAAGCTAAGGAAGTGATTCATGAGATAGAGTGATTCCCTCATGACGCATTGTTTGGGACTCAAAGAGATAAGATGTATTCTATCCCTCCAGATGACATTCCAGTGCGAGGCTTCATTGGGCACCTGGAAGAAGGAGGCTTTCTTCCACACACTCACAAGATATTTTTGTGGTCACACTTACATTTTAATATAGAATACAACAAAGATCATGTGAGTATTGATTGTTCTTTACGAGCATTTCTTCCTGTTATCTTATATCTCCCACTGGAGTGTCGACCTTCAACCGTCCCATTCCGGGTCTTCCTTCTTTTTTTTTTTACCCTTTACCCTGTCGCCACAAGAAAGCTTTTTTTTTCCAGATATTGAGGGGTGTTTAGTGAAATGAAAATTTTGGCTGTGACCACTGCACTTATGTAACAGCTTTGGTACCCGTTGCAACTGCCTACATAGTGTGTAGACATGGTGGGTATGATTATATTTAGACACAAAAATTCAGATTTAATTTAAAGGGGGGAGGGGGAAATTATTTTTTTCCTTTAATGTGACATCATAATAAACCTAAAATGATGGCATTTTGCTCTTCATAGCTGTGTGAACAAAACCCCTGATTTCATGGTCAAAGGGAGACAGTTTACTGATTGCTCTGTTTGTATTTAAGAATTAATTCCCTTTCTTGAAAAAAATTATTATGCTCTGAAGCCAAGAAACAGGAATTTATTGGTGTCTCCCTTTATTTCTGATGCTTGTTGCATTCCGGGAGAGGGATTATCTAGTTATTCTATTAACCAGTATTTTTTTCTCAACTCCCAGTTCACTGGGATGTGTTTGAGTTTGTGCTGCTTAGTGGTGATTCTGTCAAACTACATTGATCTGTTTCTGGTTTACTTTTCATGCATGCTAAAACTCAGCAACCACCTTATTTCTTCTTTATCTTTTCCCTTTAAAATTCAGGCTGCAGAAAAGTGTTCACACAGGATTGAATCTCTTCTACTATTACGTTATGAGTTAGTGCTCTGTCCACAGTCTTTAAATGATAAATAAAATCATACTGACTACTTTCATATTTTAAGCATAAGCCTTCAAGCATATTGGGGATATAGGGCTGGACCTATTTTTTATAGACCAATCGGCGGGTGATGTGGTCAGCATCACGCAGGCAGTTTTAACTTTCCAGGACTGCACCTGGTACCTACTCAAGGCTGGGTCAACCTGGGAGTCAAGGTCATTTTTGAAAAAAGTCCGGCTTCGTCAGGACGCAAACCCACGACCTTCCAATCCGCAGGTGGCCATCTAACCGCCAACGCCACAGCGACTCCCTATTTAAAAAATAATGCTGACAAATTTAATGTTACACCGCAGAAGCGGTGAATAGAGGCAGTAATGACTGTTTAGTTGACATATGTGTGTGGGCGCGAACATGCTAATTTTCTGTGTATATGTTTCCCCAAATTTTGTTTCTTAAAATTGCGGATCGTCTTATACACAAAATATTGTTAAAATATTTATATCTTAATTTTGGGCTTTAAAAAAACATGTGTGTTGTCTTTTACATGGGGGGGGGGGGGGGGGGGGTGGGCATCATATACACAGAATACTTATATGTTCATAATGTTGACTAGGGGGTCCCCGGGGTGAAGTGGTCAAGCAGTTTGCCTCGCGCTCTGAAGGTCGTGGGTTCGTTTCATGGCCGTGCGCTTCAGTTCACAAGTGCAGTTTTTTATGGAGATTCCTGGAGATCATCGCCGGAGCTACAGAGTTTGTGCTCTGCGGAGAGAGAGAGCCATTTGGGATAAAACCTGGTGCAATGAAGTGGATCCTCTTGACTTCAACCTTAACTTTAACCCTAATGTTGACTAGTCTGATGGTGTAAAATTGTTTGACTAATCCTAGGCTGTTCAGTAATGCTGAGTGCTTTGATGTTTCAGGTGATTTATGCTAATGTAACAACCAAAGACCAGCTGCCTGTACCGCTAGATGGCACCGCCATCCCATTAGAAGTGACTTTCACATACTCTGTCAAATGGATCCCCACAGAGTAAGGGATACTAGATAGTTGCATTGAGTGTTAGATTCCCAGTATGGGTTCTGGGGATGGGGGGGGGGGGGGGGATAGACCCACTGCCATCTAACAAGTATGTTGTAAAAGGTGACAAAGTTTTTGTTGACACCAGATGTGTTGGGTTGATGGGCGCAGATATCGCAGCCTAGCTGTCCAACCACAGCATAATATGCTAACCACCCTTTTGAGAATGTATGCTGAAGAAGAAGAAGAAGAAGAGAAAACATGTCAGTGAGGCTTGTACTTAAGTAAGCAGTGGAGTCATGTTTCTTAAAACGTATGTAGCAAATGGTGCTAGCCGCAAATTAGTATGGATGTTTTTTGGTAAATTTCTGTCTTTCCAGCCGATAATGTTGTTCTGTGAGGAGGCATGGGAGTCGTAGCCCAAGAGAATGGCGCACGTGACGGGCAAAACCCACTTACGTTGAGACAAACCTTCCACAATTGGAGCCTGGCATATCAGGACCATTGTTGCTATCACATGTATTTAGCAGGTTTCTTCTCAGATGCTCAGCTCTAAACCTTTATGCAATCATGCAATAATTCTTCTTCTTCTTCTTCCTCTCCGACCTTTTACCTCATCAAAGTGGGGGGGGGGGGGGGGGGGGGATTAATATTTGTTGATGAGCTCTATCAAGAGCACTAGTAAAACTGATTTTCCTTTCTGTAAGGCTGTTCTTAATGCCATCACTCCATATTTTCCGAGGTCTTCCACTCGCTCTATACCCGTTGTAACGTTTTAGTGTGGCTCGCTGTGGCAAATAGTACCAGGGCATTCTTGTTAGGTGTCCATTTGTTGTTCTTTGATGACCTGTAAGACTGGCTTTATTCCTAGCATTCTGATTTCGTAGTCTGTCTTCCCTTGAAACTCCTGCAGCTCTTCTAAGGCATTTCATCTCTGTTGTCACAATTTTACGTTCATTGTTTGCTTTTATTCCTTTTCCTTTCCTCACCCCCCCCCCCCCCCCAATTCCCCCCCTCTTCCATTCAGCATGATTCATGGCATTTTGTTCCCACAAATTTACCTCAGTGTCTGTATTATTCTTGTCCCGCTTGCACACATCTTTATATCACACTAGAGGTCAGAGTTTTCTTCTACCCTTCTGTAACTCACCATAAAGGATGTCCTTAGGGATGCTGCCTTCTTCCATTCTTCAAGTGAATATAGATATTGATCATCATGTGCCCTGCCAACTGGAGTAGGCGCTCATGCGTCTCCACAAATCACGATCCCTGGTTGCCTGGAACAGCTCTCTTGATGATATCCCTCTATGCCATCATTTCAGCCCACCCAGCATCATCTCTCCTGGAATGCCTCTGCCCCTTTTTCCACTGATCTTTCCAGTTGTTACGGTGTTCTCCAATGTCTCTCTTCTCATTGTGTGGCCAAAGAACAGTGTTTGTCTCTTTCTTATTTAGATATTAATAGCTATCGTAATTTCTATATAAACTGGATGTCTATACTTATTATTGAAAGATATTTGTTGGAGGGACGTGAAAATATTGGTCATGGACACAGCAGCCCGGAAGGTAGGCTATGAGCATCTGTCATCATTATCATCTTCAAGTGCCTTACTGGCTGGCGTGGGTGATCATGCCGCTGAACAACCTGCAGTCCCCAGCAGCGTTCATCAGCTGATGTGCTGATGCCCCTGCATGCCATGACAAATGGCCATCAAGAATCTTCTGTCATTGTCTTTCTCTTTCTCTCTCTCTCTTTCTACAAATCTTTCCAGTGGTCAGATGTTCCAGTTTTCTTCTTCTCATGATCTAAACCCCCCCACTCACATGCACACACAAATTGACTGACATCTTCTGTTGTTGTGATGATAAGTTGTTTTCGGACCCTCACAACTACATTTATACAAAATTAACAAGGGTGTCGAGTTGGTCATGAGTTGCTTTACAGATGTTCCTGCAGTGAGGTGCCATCATCACTTAGAGACAATCGGTTTGAGTCCTGGTGTGATAACTATAACTTTTGATTTTTATGTCCTTAAATGTGTCCTTCTGTGTGTACTTCTTTCTATCAGTCTGTCTCTAATTCTTTCTATGAGTACAGATACAAAAAAATGTTGTCAAAGCTTTGCAAATGCTGTTTGTAATTCTGAGGCACCCGGTTCCAGCTGTGAGCGATTTGACAGCAGAACGCCTTGTGTTAATTTTGACATGTGGTATTGAGAGTCGGCCCTTCAGGGGCAGCGGCAAACTACTGAGCATAAAAGTGCCTAGTAAAACCAAAAGCAACCAGCAGATGTTAGGGTTGATTCTGCAACATGCTGTGAAGGATACACAACTAACTTTAAATTTACCTCAATACCAATGCTTATTTGATCATAACATAACATTATGTACGCTAATGCGATGTATTTGTATCATCCATAGACTCGGCTATGAACAAAGAGCTACGCGAATTCGGGATGATTCTTTCTTTCCTAAGAATTTAGAGGTGATGAAGTATTTTACATTTCACTGATTTTTATGTTCAATTGAGTTGAGAATCAGCATCACAGAACTCTGGACATTCCGACACCACTCCGTCCAAATCTTCAGCAGCCAGGAGAGTGTACCACTGTGAAAGAGATTGGGGCCTCACTACGTAATATTCCCACAGACGTCAGTGTAGCCACCCTTCATTGTGGAATGTTGAATTAGCAATCAACGTCACAGTACTCGGGACACTCCCATAAGTGCTCCGTCCTCATCTTCAGCAGCAAGTAAAGAGTTCCAATTCTGATGGCACCAGTAGCCGTCTGATTTTGGGGAAATGGCACACAGTATTTTTTTTTTAATGTGTTCCAGTAATAGGCAAGGTCTTGAGTTCAAATTCGCATCATCTCCTGGTGGGGGTTCCGGGCTCCCATTGTGGGAGAAAATAAGAATAGACCCACTGCGTGCCCAACTAGCATGTCCTAAGAGTCGACTAATTGGGGCTGTCTTCAAAATCGGGGTACTTCTGCCTTAGCGGCGAGGAACAACCAGCTGCACGCAAATAAGCCAGTAGAACGGATGTGCACGCAAAACTCAAACCCCGGCACAAAGCTAGAATCCATGTGGACGAACAGCCAGGACTTTCTGCCAGAGCTTACAGCCGTCGAACAAAGAGAAAGAAATCTTTGAGTCACCTTTCATAACATCAGGAATCCTTTCTGGTGGTTTATATCGTAGTTACAGAAACTGCTTTCTTTGCTTGGCGAAAAAATCTTTTTGATGTTGTGTTGTTTTTTTTTAGTTATATGGAAAAGGTTGTTCTTTTTTAACAGCTTTTTTTCTTATTTTGATTTTCAGCACTACACTTTTTAACCAACCATAACTAATTCACTAAGTGTTTTTTATATATATATATATATATATATATATATATATATATATATATATATATATATATATATATATATATATATATATATATATATATATATTTGCCTTAAATTCATGAAATTATATGCAAAAATCCTGTGACATGATGAGCCGAGACACGTCAGCACAACATACAGAAACACACTGAAGTGTAGATGGTGCTATGTGGTAGGCTTTCAGTTTTCAAGGCAGCCTTCAAGTTCCAAGGCAAAATTTACAGAAAATGTCATTGATAATTTGAGTTGTTCAAATTTTGAAACATTCAAATTCTGACGTACCACTGTAATTAATTTTGTTGTTTTCCTTGTTTCCGCTCCATGTATATTATTTACTGACTTTTAATGATTGTGTTCCACAGATTCATTGGCTGTCCATTATCAATTCCCTGGTGCTGGTTTTTCTTCTCATTGGATTTGTTGTCATTATCATGGTTGGTTTTCTACTGCTTATTAGATTTGTTAGTTACATTTTGGGTTCAATGCTGATCTTTTATAATCTTGTTGTCAAACATGAAGATTCTCTGTGTGGGTTCCTGGACACCCCACCCACCCACCCGGGTCAAACAACCCAATATGAAAACGAATGTACATACAAAACCCAAGTTGTGGAACAAGACTAAATGCAGAGTAAGTGAACAACGGGAACTTTCTGCCAGGTTTTTACAGCTGGCGAACATTAAGAAAAAGCTAAAAGAAGAAACATGAAGATTATCCAAAGATGAGGAAATGCAACTGGAAGACTCAGTGTTGTGGCTGGGCAGATAAGGCTCTTAGCCTTGGTTGGTAGCTGGTTTAGGCAGGAAGCTCTGACAGGCAGACACAGAGAGAGAGACTGAGCACTGTGCTCTGATCTGGCAGCTTTATTCTAAATGTATTTATGTTATATAGGGGGGGGGGTGTTAAGAAAGCAGTCCCAAAGAGGAATCGTGCTGTTTTGTTTTGGTAACACATGGTCTCTTTAATGCTGCTATAGGGAGAAGGAACTTAATCCCTGGCCTGAATTGGTAATGCCTTGGGGTTTGACTCCCATGCCTCACTGCAGCACGGTCGAATACTATCAACTAAAAAGATACAAAGGTGCCAGAAAAACTTTTTGCAATAACAAAACAAAAAAGAAATTAAAATATAACACTCTTAGGAAAACCATACTGGAGGGAAACATTGAAGAAAGTATGAATAATAGCGAATCTCTGATGCTAACACTACTGCATGCCTGAGGAGTTCAGCTTGGTGAAGCATATCTGTGTCGTCTTCGATGTAAAATCAGGAGACACTATAACCAACTCCTTATAGGAACAATTAGCAGAGGAACCTTGGAGTGGCTGCTGCGTGGAAGGATTGAGCACGCATGGGTATGCCCATTGTGCAGAGACGTCAATTGTGATAACATGATATAACATTGAAGAAAGGGGTAGACAGTGATACAAATGATAGGATAACATCAGGAGATGAACGAACAGCAGTCTATCTGAATGTGCAGCCTCAGTAGGAGACAGAGAGTGTTGTAGATCTAATACAGCCATCCTTTAATATAGAGATAGCACCTGTTTGATTTATTTAGTATGATTTCACTCAGTCTGCTTTCTCCAGTTAGATATTTTAAAGAATTATTAGGAGATATGATCAAGCAAGTTTGTTCATTTTTATTGTCACAGCTTCTTCCAAATTCATTAATCGCCTGTGTGATAAATAAGCTGATAAGTAAATATGTTTTCTGCGGCTACACTAATCTCTCGTGTATATTAGAGTTGAGTTAATCTACACAGAAAGTTATCTCGTATCAGACACTGTTGGGTACAATTATTTTATGTTGACAGAATAACAGGTTTCTGACACAAGTAATTGAATCTTTTCCTCTGAAATACACAAATCACATCGTCTTCTCTAGTTACACTGTACATCTTACCACTGGTTGCAAATTTATCACCTTTTTTTTTGTTTTTGTTGGTGAGATTGTTCATTTTTATTGTCACAGCTTCTGCCAAATTCAGAAAGTGCCTATGAGGTAGATAAGTTGATAAGAAGACCTGTTGATTTTTTTAACAAAAAAAATTTCTTGTTATACACACTGTTAGATGTGTTTATTACTTGACTAAATGGAATCCCCTATTTCAGACACGAGTTCTCAAGAGTGACTTTGCTCGCTACAACATCGAGGATGAAGATGATGCTGACGATTTAGACTCTGATGACAATGGGTGGAAAATTATCCGCACAGATGTGTTCAGATTTCCACCCTGCAAGAATCTTTTCTGCGCCATATTGGGTAGGGTTGTAGCCTAGTTTTCTGTGTCTTCCTCTCGCCCCTTCCACCTCAAACAGCAAGCGTGTTGTAAAAGACGACAAACTCGACTCATTAGGAGGTTTGCTGAAATCAAATTTGTTGGGTGGAAAAGGGTTGATATCGCAGCCTAACTGTAAATCACATGACAGTGTGCCAACTGCCTTTTTGAGGACGAGAACAGAAAAAAAAGACTAAGAATATTCACAGTGCTGTGATTTGACTCATGATAACATAAGATAAAATTAGAAAGACTGAGCATCGAGGGTAATGCCCGGTGTGCCGTGTCAGCAATCATGATAAGACTATGTATAAGAAGGAAGATCGAGGACTCATGGAAATAACCATTGTTCTGTGACATTGATTATGGTGTTTCTAAAAGAATAAGTAGGGGAGTGGATGATGACAAAACAAGCTATGCTGAGAGTTAATGACTTGTTCTTTTGCATTCACACTTAACTCTTTGCATCCCAGGCAGTTGTCGGTTTAACTCACTGATTTGTATGCATTTGTTACCTACAACAGTGAGTCTTAAATCCACAGAGACCGGAAGGAAAACAACACTATGGGGCAAAAGGAATTCAAATTGTGTTAGTTAGTTAGTTAGTTAGTTAGTTAGTTAGTTAGTTAGTTAGTTAGTTAGTTAGTTAGTTAGTTAGTTAGTTAGTTAGTTAGTTTGTTTGTTAGTTAGTTAGCTACTTACTTTCTTACTTACTTACTTACTTACTTAGTAACTTACTTACTTAGTTTAGTTAGTTAGTAACTTACTTACTTACTTACTTACTTAGTTTAGTTAGTTAGTTAGTTAGTTAGTAACTTACTTACTTACTTAATTACTTAGTTTAGTTTAGTTAGTTAGTTAGTTAGTAACTTACTTACTTAGTTAGTTTAGTTAGTTAGTAACTTACTTACTTACTTAGTTAGTTTAGTTAGTTTAGTTAGTTAGTTAGTAACTTACTTACTTACTTAGTTTAGTTAGTTAGTTTAGTTAGTTAGTTAGTAACTTACTTACTTACTTACTTAGTTTAGTTAGTTGGTTGGTTGGTTGGTTGGTTGGTTGGGTTATCATCATTACACTCCGGACATATCCATAGATGCTCAGATCCTCGCCTCAGTATGAACCCTAACGTCTGATGGCTAATAGTACCAGTTATATGTTGATTAACAAGTCTTCTGGCGCGTCTGGTATGCATCTCGTTTTTTGCTATGCCGATCTTAATTCCCAAGTCTGCCATTCTGGCGAGTGATGTGGATTCACTGCCACCAAAGTCCTCTATCCTTCCTATTTCTCTGAGGACATTAATAATATCAGCATGATCCATAGGCTGACCGTCGATAGTAATTGTGTTCGAGACAGCACATACTGTTATAACAGCTGCCTGGAGAAGAAAGTGTTTAGAAAATCATATAAGAATTAACCTGTAAATCTCTAGTGTCTTAATTGGCACTGAATGAGTGAAAAGTGTGTTTGGCATGTTGTGGTTTGGTTTACAGCTAGGCTGCGATAGCGCCTTCCTTGATTAGTTGCCTTTCACTGCTTGCTTATTAAGGAGCAGTGGATTTGTTCTTTTTTTTTTTAATCTACAGGAGGAGAGTTAGTGAATGAAGTGAAATTAATTCACTTAACTGTGACTACAAACCTTAACAAAGGGGGAAGTGGGAAACTGTACACAACTTCTTCTTCAGCATTCCGAATTCTTGAGGTTCATTGCTGCCAATATCACCTGTCTTTATTCATCTCTCTGGTTGGCCTTCTCTTTCCAGTTGATGACAAGAGTGTTTGTAGGTTTTCCTGGATATTATCTCCTCATATCTATGACCATTCAGCTTCCTTGTGTACACAGTTTTTTACCTGCCATTCTGGAACTGTGTACACACACAAGACAAATCTGATGATTCAACCAAAGCCTTTCTCCACAACAGCCACAACAGCAATAAAGGGCAGAGTTCCCACGTTATTATCTACACTGTGCCTCTTCTTCTTTCCTTCATTAAACTTCTTTGTCACAGTTCAGTGGATTTTTTGTTTTTTTTAAAGCCTGATTGCAGTCACCCCCGTTTTCTTTACTTTTTGAATGAAACGAATCATGTTTTAATTGCATGCTTTATCAATAACTCAGGTGTTGGCAGTCAATTCCTGGCCCTAGCTACAGGAATCCTCCTGATGGCACTAGCTGGCGTTTTCAACGTCCATCGTCACGGAGCTATCAATGCTACCGCTGTGATTCTATACGCGTTTACCTCAAGTATGTGGTGTCTCTGTTTTTGTGTGTGTGGTTTTTTTTTACAAGCTTTTATTACGTTTGCTTTTGACAGTATTCTTCTGTGTCTTCATTTGCCCTTAAAAGGGCAGTTGACACTGTCGTATCTCAAAGTTAGTGAAGTCAGAAAGTTACTATAGTTGGCCAAGATTTGTTTAGCTCAAACACAAGATTTGTTTAGCTGAAATAGACTATACCAGAACTCCACTAACACCTAACGATCGTAAGGGCATTAAAGCTCGTGAGGGCATTTAAGCTCGTGAGGGCATTTAAGCTCGTGAGGGCATTAAAGCTCATGAGGGCATTAGAGCCTCAGAACTTCTGACCGGACGTAGCAGCCACAGCAAGGAGCAAGTGTATCGGACAGCGCAACAAGTTAGGCCCAGCCTCACATCCCTGCCATAATTAGAGTTTAATCGACTGTTAGACTGTTGTATGAGTTTGGCTACCACTTAGAAGTTTTCCGAGCAGCAGTGGCCATATTGTACAACTATACAACCTCTATTGTAAGTTTGTAAACTGTAGGCTTTTCTCTCTTGTGTGTGTATTATTAACATGTAATGTATATTAACATGTAATGTATATTAACATGTAATGTATATTAACATGTAATGTATATTAACATGTAATGTATATTAACATGTAATGTATATTAACATGTAATGTATATTAACATGTAATGTATATTAACATGTAATGTATATTAACATGTAATGTATATTAACATGTAATGTATATTAACATGTAATGTATATTAACATGTAATGTATATTAACATGTAATGTATATTCAATTAACTGTACTTGAATGAAAGTGTATCCATCATTTTGAATAACCCTGTATTTTTAAAATATAATTTTTTATTTTATTTAAACTAGATAGCTATAAAAATAATTATTCATTTGACCTTATTGCAGATATCAGTGGCTTTGTGGCGGCCAGTATGTACAAAAAGATGGGGGGAGATAACTGGGTGTGGAATATCAACTTAACGTCTGCTTTGTTTGCAAGTGAGTGCCTCATAGTTGATTCATTGACTTCATCTTTGCTGTTGTTTTAAAACAAATGTGTTGTAGTTAAGTGTCAGCTTTTAGGCTTATGAAGTGACCAATTCATTTCCAGTTTAGAGACAGTTTGTTAAAATTAAAAGGAAGAGATGATGGATACTCGTCTCTTTCTGATCTCAGGAATTTAAGGTGTAGCTATCATTGTTCAGCAAATTGGGGTGGCATGTTTTCCCATGTTGGTACTGAGGCCACATTCGCCATGTGACAGGCAATATATGATCTCACTGAGTCTTCTGGGTTTCTTTCTTAGTAGCTATTTCTGCTATTTTTTTCTTTCATTCTTTCTGTTTATCTTTCTTTCTGTCCATCTTTCATTCATTCTTTTTTTTTCCATCTTTTATTCTTTATTTCTGTCTCACGTTTTCCTTTTTTTTTTTATTTTTTTTTTTTATTTATGTCTCGTTCTTTCTTTTAGTGTTTGTTTTCTTTTTTCTTTCTTAACTTGTTTCTTTCTGTCCATCTTTCATTCTTTATTTATTTACATCTTTTATTCTTTCTTTCTGTCTCACTTTTTCCTTTTTTATTTATGTCTTGTTCTTTCTTTCTTTGTTTTTTTTTTTTCTTTCTAAACTTGTTTCTTTCTGTCCATCTTTTATTGATTAATTTTTATTTGTTTATTTCTGTCTTTCATTATTATTTTCTGTCTTATCTTTCATTCATGCTTCGTAACCCTTTGTAAAGAAACTTTATTCATGCGTTTCATTTTTTTTTCTCTTTCACTCTTTCTAAAGCTGAAGCCATGAATGTTAATGAATAAATGAATAATATTATTGCCACCCATGCCGTTTTTCAGTGCCGTTTTTCCTCGTCTGGGCAGTCATCAACTCCGTGGCATGGGCGTATGGAACCACTCGAGCCTTACCGGCCACTACAGTCATTCTACTGATGGCTCTCTGGCTCTTTGGTAAGATTTTGGTGCTTCAGCCGCACATGTTTGAATACATTCTCACGGTCCAGCTTCCTTCGAAGTCGGGGTGCATCTGCCTAAGTCAGCAACCAACCGTCTGCTTACAAAATATAAGCGGATCTTTGTACAGATCTGGCTTATTCGTGCGCAGATAAATTGATCCCTCGCCTCTCATGTAGATGCATTCCAGTTTTGAAGAAAATGTTGGTCCTGTTTACTTTGTCCAGTCCCCAGGTTGGGAACATGTTGTTCAGGATGACCCTGGAGAGATTTAAATAGGTCTTGGCCAGGCAAGAAAAAGAATAGACTCCCTGCAGCCTAACAGGCATGTCATAAAAGGTGACTAATTGGGAGTTTGTGTTGGGTCCAGAGGTACAGATATCACAGCCTAGCTGTAAACCACAATATATTGTGCAAACAACCCTTTTATGGGTTACGAAGAAAATGGTTTTTCTCACTGTGTCTGTTTATTGTCCGTACTTCACACCTTTTCCGACAGAAGACTGAAATGAATCAAAGCCAAACAGAAAACTGCTGTTAGAGAAGTCTGGCGATCTCCGAAGGTAGAAGAGGATCGGAAAGTAAAGTTGTAGTAATTCACACACTTACAAGTTTTATACCCTTTTTCTCATTGTAATTAACAGTTATTTATTAGCGTATTCCCCTCTTGCACATGGCTGCTTTTGCAAAAGAGACTCATTGTTTTCTTTAAATCTCTTTAACAGTGATTCCCAAACTGTGCTCCGGGGAGCCGTGCCCTCTTCACAGGGGCGATGCAAAATATTTGAAGATACACGAGGTTTCTTTTCTTTTATCTTTGACATGCGAGTAGTCATACTTTTGCTTAGGTTAGGACGCCGTGGAAAAATGTTATTTGAAGAAAAAGAGCTCCACGAATAAAAACAGTTTGAGAAACACTGCTCTGTAATTTTTTTTAAAAATGTTTTACACTTTTTCCCTCTAGGATTGCACGCTGCTGGATTAACATCTCAGTTGAGAATCACACTGGTATAAACCCAGAAGCCTTGTTCCACCTTATATATTAGAGTACGTCTCTGATTGCGAAAAATTTGGGGTCCAGTATGGGGGGTTTATACCATTGCAGGGCGTCTTTCGTCAAAAGTTATGAACTGATAACCCAACCTCATTGTACCATCATAACCTAGTAAATGTAGATACTTCCCAACACTTCCACACCACTTTCCAACCTGTAACTTTCCCAACGTTTGATGTTCCAAATGTGTAGTAACGTTCCCAGTGTGTAACATTTCCAGCTTGTAAAGTTTATAATGTGTCATAACTAGAGCCATACCGAATAGTGAATTTCACTATTCGGCCGAATACGAATAACAGGACCAACTATTTGGCTGAATACACTATAGTGTATAGTGTATAAAATATATCTATTAAAAAAACACATTTATAATGTCAAATGTACGCTGAACTTTGACCTTACATAGTGTAGTACGCAGTAGTCTTCTTCTTCTTCATCTTCATCTTCTTCTTCAGCATTCCGAGTCCTTGAGGTTCATTGCTGCAGATATCACTCGTCTCCATTCATCTCTCTGGTTGGCCTTCTCTACCCAGCAGGTGTAAGGTAACTACTATTCATATTTGGCCTTACCGCAAGTATTCGGCCAAATACAGAATAGTTATTAGGTCCACTATTCGGCCCCAAAGCGAATATGAAACGAATATTCAGTACAGCTCTAGTCATAACATTCCCAGAGTGTAATGTTCCCAACGTGTAACATTGCTAATGAGTAACATTCCCAGTGTGTAACATTCTTGACTTCCTGTAACCTTCCCAGTGTTCCAGTGGAAACCAGACTGTTTGGATCAGTGAGAGACATGCATCAGACCACAGCCTGGGGCCTTCTTATCTGAAAACCACTGAAGGGAGAATCGGAAGAAGAAAACTTCCTAGATTTCTGATGGAAGCGAAGCTGTGTGGATCAGTGGGTTCTCGGGCCTCATTTTGGGGAAAGAAAAACAAAAGGACCCACTACTTCTCTAACAAGCATGTCATAAAAGGCGACTAATTAGGGATATTTCCTCTGAAAGAATGCCTCTGCCTGAGAAGTGAGGAACCAATAGGCTGCAAATAGGTGGTCCAGATCTGTAAAACAGATGTGCACACAAAATTCAAGTTTTTGCTGCAAGACTAAAGTCCAGAAGTGTACAAACAGCCTGAACTATGTGACAGAGTTTACAGCCGGGAAATGCTAACAGAGAAGAATCAGTGGAGGAAATGCATCAACCACAGCCATCATGGTGAACTGTGCACTCCTTATCTGAAAATCTACTGATGGGGAGATTGGAAAGAAGGACAGAAGTCAAAACTCTCATTAAGAGAAAATCAGAAACAGATTGGAAAACCAACACTGGTTATAACTACGAAAAAGATTTTCTCAGACACCTGAACAGAACAGACCAAGTCACAGTTTTTCGCTTACGTACTGGACACTGCAGACTCAATAAACACTCACATAAATTAGGCATGAGCCAAACAGCTCTCTGCCGGTGCCTTCGTGCTGAACAGACTCCAGAACATGTCCTGCAAGACTGTCCTCTCCTGGCGGAGCTGCGGAGCAACATATGGCAACACCCAGTAGAACTGACAACTAAGCTTTGGGGAAACCTAAGAGACCTTGAAAAGACATCCCAGTTTATGGCCCACAGTGGATTCTGCACATGACCAGAGATCGCTGAAGACTTTGCATCATTAACTACCTGCCACAGAGTTACTTTAAAAAATCGTGACAACTGAATTTGTTCCTCGTCCACAGTGGGCTATCCTCTGACAGTTTTCGGAGGTATATTAGGGAAAAACTACGGAGGCAGCTTCGACGTGCCCTGTAGAACTAAAAATATTGCCAGGGAGATTCCCAGAGTGCCCTGGTATCGCTCAGCCTTTGTTCACTGCGCTATAGGAGGGTTTTTACCATTCAGGTTTGTTATCTTGTGTGTTTCGTTCAGCTCATAAACACATCATTGCCATTATCTGAGAAGTCTGAACTTCTGATCTACCACCGCAGGAGGAGGGGGTTCATATTGATGGTTGAAACATTTCCATTTTTTGCGGACAGTAGTGTTCCATTGTGTTACAGGGCATGTTGAATGAAGAATCGACATCACAGCACTCGGGGCACTCCTATAAGTGCTCAGTCACCATCTTCAGCAGCAGCAGCTAAGAGTTCCAATTCCGATAGTACTAGTAACCATTAACCCCTTAATGTTAAGCGTTGGCCAGATCCCCTGGTAACTCCCCGCAGTGCTATTCTTCTTAGACTGTAATGATCTATCTGCGCCTCCGCACTGTTCGCCCGCTCCCAAGGGCCCTCACAATATCTAGCTTGTTATATATCAATTTACCACCAAGTGGTGCAGAGCCAGCCAGTCTGATAGTCTAAATTGAGTCTATCTGCCTGCTCATTTCACAACAAACTGGCAGAACCAGGAAAAAATATCTAAAGGATGCCAACTACCTGGGACCTCTGAAGTGATGCTTGCCACTCTGCACGAAGCATGCCTGTCTCCACCTTTCTACCCATATCTAATTCACCATAGAGGTGGTCCTTAGGGACTCTACAATCCTCTATCCTCTGAGGTTGTCCTAGCCCTCTGAGCCTTCGAAGACTGAACATTGAGAAAACCATGATGGTTGGGACTGGACATTGAGAAAACCATGATGGTTGGGACTGGACATTGAGAAAACCATGATGGTTGGGACTGAACATTGAGAAAACCATGATGGTTGGGACTGAACATTGAGAAAACCATGATGGTGGGGCTGAACATTGAGAAAACCATGATGGTTGGGACTGGACATTGAGAAAACTATGATGGTTGGGACTGGACATTAAGAAAACCATGATGGTTGGGACTGAACATTGAGAAAACCATGATGGTGGGGCTGAACATTGAGAAAACCATGATGGTTGGGACTGAACATTGAGAAAGCCATGATGGATGGTCAGAAAACTAACATTATTATGTCTGTAAAGGACCCTGTCCATGAGCTGCCAGGACTTCTAAGGGAAAAAAACAAATTAAAGTATAGAATATGGGAGCCACAGTAACAGAGTGGCTAGATGGTTACCTGTCAGCCCAAAGGTCTTAGGTTTAAATCTGCATTGATGCAGATTTTGTTTTCAAAATTGCCCTTGGCTCCCATGTTGACCCAGTCTGAAATAGTTAGCATGTAATGTCCTGTGAAGTACAGACGAGTGGAGTGATGCTGACCTTAATCACCAGCTGTTGCTAATTGGTCTATAATGATGAATAAGCAGACAAACTGGCAAGTATTGCACCTCTGCATGCTGGGAATTGCATGGACAGAGCTGGTATCATCAACAGTGTACACACTAGGCTGGCAGACAGTGATGAATCTCTGCTGCTAATATGATTACTGGGGTCTCCTTGGCGAAGTGGTCAAGCCGTTTGTCTTGCGCACTGAAGGTTGTGGGTTTGTCTCACAGCTGCATCATTCTCTTCGCAGTTTTACGGAGGTCCCTGCAGATTGTTGCTGGAGCTAGGGAGTTTGTGCTTTGTGCAATGCTCTCGGCAGGTGGCTAGCCATTCTGCAGAGAGAGACTGAGCCATATGGGATAAAACCTGGTACAGTGAAGTCAGTCCTCTCAACTTTAACCTTTATGGTTACATGACCTTGGAAACGAAGCCTGATAGTGCACGCTGGTGTCATCATCGAAGGCACCATAGAAGATGTAACCAACTTCTTAAGGAAACAGTCAGTAAAGGTACCTTGGTGTGGCTTCTGCATGGAAGGACTGAGCACACATGAGTATGCCTAATGTGCAGGGACATCAGTTGTGATAACACAGCATCTCGTCTAACACATTTTAACCTGGTAAAACTAATTGTTTTCTTCTTTTCCCGTCTCACTGATACCAGGTTGTAGCCCAGTCTCGTTGTTTTCTATTTTTTGTCGGGTGGCTTGAGTGATGGATTTGTTCATCTTTTTGCATGTTTCCGCTACGCTATTTATTCATGTCATTCTTGGTCTTCCTCCTGCCTTCCTCCCAGATGTTCTACTGTAAAAAGTCTCATATGCAGTCTGGTCTGGCTGCATTCTCACTAGATGGTTGAACCATTTAATTCTTTGTCTGTCATTATAATCCAGACATGGTCTAAACCCGACTTTCTCTCTAATGCTGGGACAGATGCATTAGTAACCCTGTGGAAAGAGCATATCAGGAAGGGAATGACACTGAAGGAAGAAATGATTGCAGAAAGGATGAGAGCTGAAAATGATTGCAGAAAGGATGAGAGCTGAGCGTCTGAAAAGAAACGGATTAAACACAGATGTTGTTAACAATGGTCCTGAAATCCCATGCTATCATTGTGGAAGACTTTTCTTGACACAGACGGGTCTTGCTAGTCACACTCGCCATCGCCATGGGCTGTGAGTCTCACGCCTCTTCATAGCGCAATATAACACTATCGTCTGGAAAGACGGAAAGGTGCCAATCAATGAGTGCCGTATTCATTGATTAATTCTCAGTCTTGTTTTAATTACCCAGTGCTATTTCGGTGGAACTGTACTACATCTTTGCCACCCTGTGGGGAAGGGAACAGTACACTTTGTTTGGGATCCTGTTTATAGTCTACGGCATCTTGCTCAGTGTCACGGCTTGCATCTCCATCGCACTGACCTACTTCCAGCTGTCGGCGGAGGACTACCGGTGGTGGTGGCGATCTATGTTCAGTGCAGGGTTTGTATCTCTTGATCTTTCTTTGTTCTTGTTTATTATTATGTCGTCTTTCATGTTTCTTTGTTTGTTATCATTTGTTATGATGAAATCTTTCATGTTTCTTTGTTTGTTATCATTTGTTATGATGAAATCTTTCATGTTTCTTTGTTTGTTATCATTTGTTATGATGAAATCTTTCATGTTTCTTTGTTTGTTATCATTTGTTATGATGAAATCTTTCATGTTTCTTTGTTTGTTATCATTTGTTATGATGAAATCTTTCATGTTTCTTTGTTTGTTATCATTTGTTATGATGAAATCTTTCATGTTTCTTTGTTTGTTATCATTTGTTATGATGAAATCTTTCATGTTTCTTTGTTTGTTATCATTTGTTATGATGAAATCTTTCATGTTTCTTTGTTTGTTATCATTTGTTATGATGAAATCTTTCATGTTTCTTTGTTTGTTATCATTTGTTATGATGAAATCTTTCATGTTTCTTTGTTTGTTATCATTTGTTATGATGAAATCTTTCATGTTTCTTTGTTGTCATTTACTATAATGTAATCTTTCATGTTACTTTATTTGTTGTCATTTATTATTATGTAAGCTTTCATGTTTCTCTGTTTCTTTGTCATCTATTATTGTGTAGTTTTTTTGTTTTTTGTTTTTTAATTGGTCTCTGTTGTCATTTGTTATTAAGTAGTCTTTCATGTTTCGTTGTTTATTGTCATTTATTATTGCATAGTATTTCGTGTTTGTTGTCATTTATTATTATGTAATTTTTTTCTTAGTTATCTCCACCTTAATGCAGTTAAAAAGTAGTAAAGATCCCTTTTCATGTCTCTAGGCGCATTGGGCATATGGGAAGAGCAACCATATTTTTACAGACCAATTGGCACAAGGTGGATAATGTCAGCATTACGCCAGTCTTCTTTACTTCCCCAGGACATACATCCTAGTACCCATTTTAGGCTGGGTCGACCTGTGACGACCCATACTATGATTAAAATCCATGCAGCTGGCAGTGGGTTTCGATCGTGGTACGTTGGAATTACGAGTCGGACTCACAATGCCTAAGCCATGGACACCACTCCTTATTGTAGTTGCGCCGTCTTTTCTTGTTTTTTTAATTTTTTTTTCTTCTTTATCTGTTAATAATCCTTTCTTTTATTTCATTCTCTCTCCCATTTTCCTCCTTGCTCTGCAATTTTTCCCTATCTCCTGCTTTCCTTCATCTCTAATTTGACACTTTCATTCTTATGTGAAAAGGGCGAAAATGGTTAATGTAGTCAGGAACTCATAGTTTGACTGAACCCAACCCTACACCACTTGCCACTAGAAAAGCCTATTTGAACCCTTTTACCCTGAGACACCTAAAAACCACTTTCCGGTTGGGTCCAATTCCTTATAAATGTCACTTTTCTAACTTGTTTATAGTAACCTGTTTACAAGATGTATAGTTAATATTATTGGCTGAGTAGCACTTGCGCAAATATTCAAGAGGTCAGGATATGACTACATTAACTAAAAATAGCATTTAGGGGGTTTTCCTTAGAGTTAAATAGCTCTATTTTTAAAGCCAAGTTAGATTTTGTCATTAGCCTCAATGATAGAGGTCACGGGGTCACTGCATGAGTCATCGGATACCTGTATGTATTCAATATAATGCTTCACCCATTCATGTTTATTGATTACTTCTTTCATTTATGTTTACATGCTTAGGACAATAATTTTAAAATATTAATAAATTCTTTTTTTTTTAAATGAATTTGTTAATGACTAGTGTAGAAAAATAAAATCGAAACAGACATGAAATGTAACAAGGCTCAGAAAATGACAATATAAAAAAAAAATTTATCAGGATAAAACCAGTGCTAAACTACATCATGAGACATCAGATCAGATGATGCTGACATGTGTGAAGACTATCACAATGTTCTCTTCAGGGCAAATGACAGGAAAAAAATATTGGGGAGGGGGGGGGGGGGGGGGTAGATGAACAATTTATTTATAATATATTCTGTGTTATTTACCACACACCAAGCAAGCAGTTACTGAAATTGGCAGAAGCTGTGACCATTGAAATGAACAATCATGTGTTGTGCACACACAAAAATAATAATACTAAAATGGTCTCTTTTTTTTTTTGGCTTTAATCTGTAGGTCAACGGGTGTGTTTGTCTTCCTGTATGCCTTGTTCTACTTCCTGAAACGCTCCAACATGTCGGGACTGCTGCAGACGCTGGAGTTTCTGGGATACACGGCCTTGACCTGCTACGTGTTCTTTCTGATGCTGGCCACGGTCTCATTCTTTGCCTCGCTCAAGTTTGTCCGGTACATCTACGTCAACATCAAGATGGACTAGGCGCCCGTTTGTGACCACAGTGCAGACCTGATAAGGAGAACTTATTGGGGACCTAAGAAGTAGTTCTTCTTATCAGAAATTCCTCTTATCCAGATAAAAGTTCAAGCAAGAAAAATTACCAGGGATAAACAGATTGTTCTTCACAACAGAAATTCACCACGCCAGAGGACGCCTTTACTGGTCTGCACTGTAATTGTTTGTACAGCTAGATTGGAATATTGTGTTCTTGTATTTGATTGTGTAGGTGAATATTTGGAGAACTATTCTGAAGAATAAAGTGGAATCTTCAAAACATTTAAAATTTATAAAGTGCAGAATGGGGGGGGGGGATTTAATCTTAAAATAGAATGTGGGATAATAATCAAAAATGGATGTCCCACGAAACTAACCAGGAAGGCTAACTGGGTCAACAAATGCCCGCAGAAGTTGGATGTGTTGGCCGAAAGACGCAAATGTCGCAGCCATGTTGTAAACAGGTACAAACCAATTACATCTTTGGATAAACGCAGAAGAAGAAAATAAAATATGAGAAATGGGCAAAAATTGAAATAAACAGAATTACGGAAAGACAAAGGATGTGGGGAAAAAAACTAGAAATAGAATATAGAAAAATAAAGAACCTGGAAAGCAGCAGTTTGAATTAGATGATAATGTGAGAACCCAAACCATAGAGTATGGACAAACAACTAAATCATCACAAATAGAGTGTGGGGAAAATAGTACAATCTGAAAAAACAATAAATTCATGGATTTCTGGCTTTTTTCTGTGGTTTTTCTTGGTGCTAAAACTGCAGGCAATAAATCATGTAGGGAGGAAAAGTTGCTGGAATCGGATAGGGCACACATTGAAAAGAACTAATAACTTTATGACTAATTTGTCTATGAACTGGAAGCTACAGGGTTAAAAGAATAATGTCAGACCCAAAAACATACAAAAGAGGGGAAAAGATGGTGAGGACATTGGGAAGAGATTAAGAGAACTTGGTGCAAGTGTGGCCTTACAGACTCGAGTGATCAGTCGCAGTTAAGACTGTTTTGACATGAATGCAGAATGGAAGAGTATCGGCATGGAGGCATGGGAGGCAGAAAATGCCAGAGCGACCCAGGGTTCGCTGGGAAGACAACATCCGACAGTGCCAGACTAATAGACGACTGGGATGGAACAAAACCAGGAAGAAAACTTCAGATAGAGAAGTCTGTCGATCTCTGTGGCAAACCTCTCCACCCGCAGGTAGAAGAGGAGTGAATAAGTGAATGTTGAAAGCCTGAACCATTGGATGATGTTCTGTTATCACAGTCTACGTCACTGCACATTGGGCATTCCCATGTGAGCTCAGTCCTCTGATGCAGCAGCCACTCCAAAGTACTTCTACTAATTGTTCCAAAGAGACGCTGGTTCTAATGTCTTCTATTTCAGCCTTGAAGACGGCATAGACATGCTTCACCATGCCTTACTCCCATGTCACGCAATCGCATTAGTGTCTGAGATTGGTCATTATCCACTGGCCCAATCTGTACAGTGTTAACGATGTCTGCTCTATCCATGCTTATTCCCACATGTATTGGTGCATTGCTTGCCAGCTGGTCCGCTCGCTCATCACCCTTTTATTGGGGAATCAAGGGCTGGAGGGAAAAAGAATCAAGCTGCAGTGGAATAATAAAAAACATATAAAGAGTGGGGAATTTTAGGTTTATGTCATCACAAATGGCATGAATATTTATTAATCGCAAGAATTGACATAAGTTCTAGTTAATGACAGCTACAGTTTATTGCACCTCTTCCTTTCTTTCAGTTTGTTTCTGGGTCTTTGGTCTGCTTTCTTTTGTTATTTTTTTTTCTTCTGTGTTATTCATTTCTTTTTTTTTTTTTTTTATGATTATATCTTGAACACCTGCCATTTCCTGTGTGTGTGTCCCTGTCTAGCATCTTATAAAAAGGCAGCTAGTTCGAGTTTGCTGAAATCAGCAGAAGGGTGTAGATATTACAGCCTAGCTGTGACAGTGTACAACATGTTGCCACAACATCTAACCTGTTGTCGCAACATCTAACCTGTTGTCACAACATCTAACCTGTTGTCACAACATCTAACCTGTTGTCGCAACATCTAACCTGTTGTCGCAACATCTAACCTGTTGTCCCAGCATCTAATCTGTTGTCGCAACATCTAACCTGTTGTCGCAACATCTAACCTGTTGTCGCAACATCTAACCTGTTTTCGCAACATCTTAACTTTTGTCACAACATACAACCTGTTGTCGCAACATCTAACCTGTTGTCGCAACATACAACCTGTTTTCGCAATGTGCTAGCAGCTTTCCTGTCTCTTGGGGCATGTCTAAAGCTGTGATACAACAGTGAGGCATGAGAACCCTCTCACGTGGGTTCCAGAGCCCTATATTAGAAGGTGTGGGGGGGTAGTTGACCAACAGTTCTGTTAGAACTTTTCAATGGTGTTTCCTTAAGGTCGGGGTGAATCTGCCTGAGAAGGAAAGAGTCTGCATACCAATAAGCCAGATTTGTAAAACGGATATTCGTGCAAAACTCAAATTCTGGAACAAGACTAAAGTACAGAAGTGGACAAACAACCAGACCTTTACGCCAGAGTTTACAGCCAAAAAACATGAAGAGAAAGAAAAGAAAAAGAAAGTAAGCAACACTAAGAAAAAAGCATGGGATTTCAGGCCATGACATATATTTAACATGTTTCTGTTTAGCTCTAAAATATGTCATTGTCTTCCTGCCTTTATCCACGATTTCTCTGTCACTGCTAATTCATATTGGGATGTGCCTGTTTATGTTCAACATTCTAAATTTTGTCTTGTTTAAATAATTTGAGTACAATCATATTTTGGGATGTGCCTGTTTATGTTCAACATTCTAGATTTTGTCTTGTTTAAATAATTTGAGTACAATCATATATTGGGATGTGCCTGTTTATGTTCAACATTCTAGATTTTGTCTTGTTTAAATAATTTGAGTACAATTTCTCTTGACCTTATAAATTATTTGTAGTATTGTTTCCAGCAAACTGCATTGTACAAATCATATTTTTACCACCAATACTGAGGTCGAAATGTTTCTTTCATAAGAAGTTCAGCTACACATTTGTTCTGTGGTGATTTCATTGTATGTTAAATTAGTTCTGAGGTGATTTCATTGTATGTTAAATTAGTTCTGAGGTGATTTCATTGTATGTTAAATTAGTTCTGTGGTGATTTCATTGTATGTTAAATTAGTTCTGAGGTGATTTCATTGTATGTTAAATTAGTTCTGAGGTGATTTCATTGTATGTTAAATTAGTTCTGTGGTGATTTCATTGTATGTTAAATTAGTTCTGAGGTGATTTCATTGTATGTTAAATTAGTTCTGAGGTGATTTCATTGTATGTTAAATTAGTTCTGAGGTGATTTCATTGTATGTTAAATTAGTTCTGAGGTGATTTCATTGTATGTTAAATTAGTTCTGAGGTGATTTCATTGTATGTTAAATTAGTTCTGTGGTGATTTCATTGTATGTTAAATTAGTTCTGAGGTGATTTCATTGTATGTTAAATTAGTTCTGAGGTGATTTCATTGTATGTTAAATTAGTTCTGAGGTGATTTCATTGTATGTTAAATTAGTTCTGAGGTGATTTCATTGTATGTTAAATTAGTTCTGAGGTGATTTCATTGTATGTTAAATTAGTTCTGAGGTGATTTCATTGTATGTTAAATTAGTTCTGAGGTGATTTCATTGTATGTTTAAATTAGTTCTGAGGTGATTTCATTGTATGTTAAATTAGTTCTGTGGTGATTTCATTGTATGTTAAATTAGTTCTGAGGTGATTTCATTGTATGTTAAAATTAGTTCTGAGGTGATTTCATTGTATGTTAAATTAGTTCTGAGGTGATTTCATTGTATGTTAAATTAGTTCTGAGGTGATTTCATTGTATGTTAAATTAGTTCTGAGGTGATTTCATTGTATGTTAAATTAGTTCTGTGGTGATTTCATTGTATGTTAAATTAGTTCTGTGGTGATTTCATTGTATGTTAAATTAGTTCTGAGGTGATTTCATTGTATGTTAAATTAGTTCTGTGGTGATTTCATTGTATGTTAAATTAGTTCTGTGGTATGTTGTTTCTGTGGGAATTTGACTGTCATTTTAGAATTTTTTTAATACAGCATTTATTTTAACTTGTAATTTACATTATGAACACATTTCTTACAACATTCTCTCAATACTTGTCGGGTTTGTTGGTCATACTTGCTAAGTTTGTTGGCCATACTTGTCGAGTTTGTTGGCCATACTTGCTGAGTTTTTTTGGTCGTACTTTTAGTTTATTGGCCATATTTGCTGACCATTCATGCCGAGTTTGTTGGCCATACATGCCGAGTTTGTTGGCCATACTTGCTGAGTTTGTTGGCCATACTTGCTGAGTTTGTTGGCCACACTTGTCGAGTTTGTTGGCCATACATGCTGAGTTTGTTGGCCAAACTTGCTGAGTTTGTTGGCCATACATGCTGAGTTTGTTTGCCATACATGCTGAGTTTGTTAGCCATACTTGTCGAGTTTGTTGGCCATACTTGTCGAGATGTTTTCAGTTTGCTGCTATTATCTGTAAACTGTTGCTTCCATTGATGCCATGCATGTTCTGAGAAGTTGCATTGGGGCAGCGCTTAGTGCGTTGGCTCACCATAACAGAGGTTTGGTTCAGTTCCTGTTGTTGACAGAATTCTTTTTCTGACCAGTTTGAGGGTTGGCAGTCTCATCAGATGGCTACCAGACAATTTTCACAATATATTCAGGCATTATTTAGAAATAAAAAACAGACAGTGAATGTCACCTCAGGTCTTGATTAGAATGCATGCGCAGTTATTAACAGTTTAAGGGTTGACAGTCTCATCAGATGGGTACAGACATTTGTCACAATATATTTAGGCATTATTTAGAAATAAAAAACAGACAGTGAATGTCACCTCAGGTCTTGATTAGAATGCATGTGCAGTTATAAACATTCA